TAGTACATTTTATTATAAGAAGAAGCATAAATAACATTAGTATAAATAAACTAATTACTTACAAGTTGTCATATGTTCCATTTCCTTGTAAAATTCAACTTCATCATCCGTGTGGCTATACTTTGCGGTTTGCGGTAACCGCAAGTTTTGAAAATCAAATACCGCAACCGCAACCGCAAATGCGGTTCGGTTCTTAATACCGCAAATGCGGTTCGGTTTACCGCGATTGCGGTTTCATTGCGGTAAATTGTCGGTTGGTTTTTGCGGTTTTTCGGTTTTTCGGTTTAAAATGCCACCCCTAGAACCAACCCTTGTCATCACCAATTTTCGGTTTTTGAATCATGAGTTCGTGTTTTTTGGGCTGTGGAGATACGGCCCATTAGAGTAACTAACTTGTTACCTCCAAATTCATTGGGCTTTTCAGTGTTTTTGTCGGTCGAATTTTTTTATTTTATCATATTTCGCTCAATTTCCAGTCCCGCTTGTCAATTTCACAGATTGAGTTCGGGAACTCATCTCAGACGAGAATCTAGTGATTATATGCTCATAAGTGAGCAAAGATTGTAACTTTTGATTAATCAGAAATGGCCAACGTCTCGGTTGCCGCGGAGTGGCAGCTCCTCTACAACCGGTACTACCGGAAGCCCGAAATCTACCGAATGAGCTGGAAGCACGTGGAGCTCAACCGCAACAAGGTCGCCTGCGCTCCCTTCGGCGGCCCCATCGCCGTCATCCGAGACGATTCAAAGATCGTCCAACTCGGCGGCGAATCGGCGCAACGCAAGCTCCGAATCTTCAGTTCCTCGGGCCATCTCCTCGGCGAGACCATCTGGAAACACCCGGGCGGCCGATTAATCGGCATGGCCTGGACCGACGACCAAACCTTAGTCTGCCTCGTCCAGGACGGCACCGTTTTCCGCTACACCATCCACGCCGAGCTCCTCGAGCCGAGCATCTCCATGGGCCAAGAGTGCTTCGAGCGAAACGTCGTGGACTGCGTCTTCTGGGGAAACGGCCTCGTTTGCATCACCGAAACGAATCAGCTGTTTTGCATTTCCGATTTCAAGAACCCGAACCCGGTTAAATTGGCCGACCCGGAGATCGAGGACCCGCCGCTTTGTATGGCGGTGATCGAGCCTCAGTACACGATGTCCGGGAATGTGGAGGTTCTGCTTGGGATTGGAGACGCTTGCGTCTTGGCTGTGGAAGAAGATGGCGTTCAGCAGCTAGGGCTTGAGGTGTTGCGTGGACCAATTCAGAAGATGGCGGTTTCGAGAGATGGACAGTGGCTTGCTTCGTTCACGCACGATGGTCGATTGTTGGTCATGACTTCGAATTTGAAATTAGCTTCTATGTGTGATTTTAATTGGTTGTATGTCTATTATTCAATTTGAATTTCACGGCATGAATTTGATGTGTGTCATTAAGAATGAACAACTCGCATTTTGAAGCACCCTTATAGTTTATGTATGTTTCTCAATAAAGATTGCTTATTTATTTTTATGTCCGTTATGGCACTACATCATATTGTAATGTGCATATTTGTATTGTGTGTGTCACAGTCAGCTCTTCCTCCGGAACAGTTAGCGTGGTGTGGAATGGACACAGTGTTGCTCTATTGGGATGATATTCTTTTGATGATGGGTCCTAGAGGAGATCCCGTTCGCTACTTTTATGATGAACCGATAATTCTTATTCCTGAGTGCGACGGAGTAAGGATATTATCTAACTCAAGCATGGAGTTTCTACAACGGGTGCCTGATTCCACTGAATCCATCTTCAAGATTGGAAGTACGTCACCTGCGGCATTGTTGTATGATGCTTTGGATCATTTTGACAGACAAAGTGCCAAGGTAGGTTACTCTTTTTTTGTTTCTTAATCAAACAGAAATAGATAACCTCCACTAGATTATTGAAACGAAGTGCAAACTTGAATTACCTATGGGCATCTGTAGTAATCCCTGCAACATAACAAAAGAAAGTCAAGAAGAAATTATTGAAACACCCCAGCTTTTTATACCTGCAAAACTCATGAGTTAAACGACAAAGTTAATTTCATGTTTCACCAGGCAGATGAGAATTTGCGACTAATACGCCCATCCTTGCCGGAGGCTGTTGAAGCATGTATTGATGCTGCTGGCCATGAATTTGATGTTCTACGTCAACGGACGCTCTTAAGAGCTGCAAGCTATGGCCAAGCCTTTTGCAGGTTTGTCTGGCTTGATATTGCTGTAGAATTTGAATTCACCAGTGTTAAGTTGTTAGCATTTTTCGTTATCAATTCTTTAACCTCTTTAACCTTCCTTTATCTGCCCCCGCCATGAGTGGTTTGGGGAAAGTAGGGTTTCCAAGTTTGAGTCAGGCGACGGTGCTGATATTTTAGTTAGCATTCCATGCCTGAATAATGTTGAGCTCTTGCTGATAATTGCTTTGTTGTGGATATTGTGCTTCCTTGTTATCTGGTTGTATTAAAACCTGAAACCTAGTTACAATAACTGAAAGGGACTTTTGCTACCGTTTTGTATCCTGGTGCATATGAAAATGCATACAATTGGGGAGATCCAACTTTTATGTGAATATGAGTGGAGAAACATATATAAGTTATTCCTACATTTTCCCTTTTGTATTCCAGAGTATTACAAGTAGTTTGGATTTATGGCTTTGTTGAGTTTGTGTTTGTTAAATATGAAGCCCATTTGGCACAAGAAGATTTCTATAATCTTCTTTTCCCCATACTTCAATCTCATTTGATGTCCCCAGAGGATAAGAGTTGTTAACCATTTCGAACATTTCATCGACTGGACTTTGATATATATTTTTGTTGCAGTATCTTTAATTCCTATTAATTGTCCAAATTCTTGTTCATTGCATACTAACTACATAGTTCTTAGTTTCCATGGTCTTGAAAGAACATTCTTTCTGATTTCTGCTCTCGGTAATGATATCCAGTTGGCTTTGGCAGCAATTTTCAACGGGATCATATTCAAGAGATGTGTAAAACTTTGCGAGTTTTAAATGCTGTGCGGCATCCTGACGTTGGAATGCCTCTTAGTATTCAACAATACAAGGTTTTTGAAGCTGACTTTTCTCATTTTCCAACTTGCTAAATATGCATGCTATTTTCGTTACATAATACTGAATAAGGTTATTGCTTTCAGTTGCTTACGCCATCTGTTCTGATTGGTCGTTTGATCAATTCCTACAAGCACTTTCTTGCACTACGGGTATCAGAGTACCTTGGAATGAATCAAGTAAGTCTATTTATTGCTAGTGTTTACATGATTGGTGATTGTTTTGCTCCTTTTGCACTGGGTTCTTGCTACTGTGCCTTTGATCCACAAATCAGACTACCTTAACTGAATTTGATAGGAGGATGCTGTTAAGGCGGGAAATTTTTTTTTTTTTTTTAAGTGATACTATTTGTACTATGCATGCTAGTTCTTAGACTAAATACTAGCTTACTTAAGAAGATCTATATACTTTCTGCTTTCCATTTTGAATGTAGAATTAATCCACTTATATGATATCTGAACTTATCTCTTCTCTTATTGGCTTTGTGTAGGAGATGGTGATTATGCACTGGGCATGTTCGAAGATTTCAGCTTCCTTAGCAATTTCTGATGCCACTCTTCTTGAGATCTTACTTGATAAGGTAGATTGGTTATCTTCATTTGTTACTGTGTTGTGTTTTCTCATTCTATTTCGTTCAACCAACCCATCTTTTAGGATTTTTCTTATTTATATATATTTTCAGTTGAAACTATGCAAAGGAATATCCTATGCAGCAGTTGCTGCACATGCAGATAAGAATGGCCGCCGGAAGTTAGCTGCTATGCTTGTTGAACATGAACCACGCTCCTCCAAACAGGTTCTTTTTTATAAAATTGTAAAATAAAGAAGAATACAAAGATATTATTAGCTTTTTTCCTTATCTTTTAGCCACACAAAAAATAAATAAATAAATAGATAAAAATGACGTCACATTATGAAAAAGCAAAATAAGTCCATTATATTTCATACTGATTCTTTTACTTCAGGTTCCTCTCTTGTTGAGCATAGGAGAAGAAGATACAGCTTTAATGAAGGCAATTGAAAGTGGTGATACAGACCTTGTTTATCTTGTTCTCTTTCATATCTGGCAAAAGGTAATACATCTAGAAAACTCAACATGTATTCCAGTGTGTCTGTTACAAGTTTCCTCATAGCTATAATATTCATCTTTAACAATCAAAAATCTCCATTTGATGCAGAGACAACCATTGGAGTTCTTTGGAATGATACAAGCTAGAGCACTGGCACGTGATTTGTTTATAATTTATGCACGGTAGGCATAGACACACTAATCTGAAATATTTTCATCTTTCCATTTCATGAGGTGGGCATTCTGAGGAAAGTAAGCCACAGGAAAGTGATCTATATATTGCATGCATAACAAGCAGTTTGGTGTCTGTTTCAGGTGCTATAAGCATGAATTCTTGAAGGACTTTTTCCTATCAACTGGACAACTTCAAGTAGGTTTCAGTTGGCTTTTGGTTGTACATGTATACATATTAGACAATAGACATGCATTTTTCTAGAGGAAGACAAAAGACATACATAATGCACATTAGATACATACTTACTTTGAAACTTACATAGTGTGCTTTATAAAGAAAGAAACCATAAGTTGGTCACATACATTCCATTATCTAGACGTAGAAAATTTTAGTCTTCATAAGTAAAGCTTTAAGTATCAGATTTGCGCCAGTCATCCCATGATAAAATTTTAAAGTATGGAGAGGAGTGTAAGGTCAAGTCAAGTCTTTTGGTCCTTGGAGCAACCATTCCCTTGTGCTTCCTCTCTTATGTCATGACTTTTGTTTCACACTAGTGTTGAGCTAATAGAAATGCCTGTTCTTTTAAATCTTCCAGAAATTTGGAGGGACAAGTAATTTGGTATTCAAATTCTTTTACTATCAAGGTGTAATCCCATGTTCGAGTTGCTACCCTTTGAACAAAATGTGTTGTAACCAATTGTCCAATGTCTGATGTAACACTTCATGAATATTAACATCTCTTATGGAGCATTCACTATAAATATAAAATTTGTATTTTGTAGGAGGTGGCTTTCCTTTTGTGGAAAGAATCTTGGGAGCTTGGAAAAAATCCAATGGCAAGCAGAGGATCTCCCCTTCATGGTCCACGCATAAAAATAATTGAGAAGGCCCAAAATCTTTTCTTAGAAACGAAGGAATATACCTTTGAGGCGAAGGCTGCTGAAGAGCATGCAAAGTTGTTGAGGTTAGATTTGAGTTTATCTGCGCCATTAGTTGGGTGAACTATTGAATTTCTAGTGCATGCCATTCATTGCATTAACTAGGCTGCAAGGGATAGCATGTTATTGTAGTTTACACAAGTATATTGTAATAATTAACTCCAAGTTACAACTACCTATTAATGGTAGATTAGTGTTTGACGCTATTGCATATGCAAGACTATATGTTTTCTTTTTTCTTTAGTCATTGATTTGTGTGTATAAGATGTAAAATCTCATAACTTGATTTTTGTTTTATTTTGTTTTTTAAAATGTACTGTTTTTCTGATTACATTGTGTTTCGACAGAATGCAGCATGACTTAGAAGTGTCAACAAAGCAGGCCATTTTTGTTGATTCCAGTATCAGTGATACAATTCGAACATGTATTGTTCTGGGAAATCATCGAGCTGCAATGAAAGTGAAAACAGAATTCAAGGTTTGTGAGACTGAAGCTTGTGCCGCCTTCCAAGTCTTTTTCCTCGTCCCTCATTCCTTTTCTGATTTTAACGAAGTAAAAACTGAGTTATTTTTCACGTTTGATGCAAAATAAAACAGTTGGCATGTTCTTTGATTGTTTACAAGCTCTTATTTTTTTCGCATTGACTGCAGTATAGACCTTGACTGCTTCATTGTGAAATCGTCTCAGGTTTCTGAGAAGAGATGGTATTGGCTAAAAGTTTTTGCTTTGGCTACAATCAGAGATTGGGATGTCTTGGAGAAGTTCTCAAAGGAAAAGAGACCACCAATTGGTAAGGCGTTCATTTAATTAAAGCAATCACATTTTTGTTGCTGAGAGAAGGGAGGAGGGATAATAAGCAACATTCGAAATCTACTTTTGCCTTATTTACCTCCCTTTTTGGGGACATTCCATAGAAGGCTGCCAGCCATGCTAAGTTACCCTTTTATCTTTCGTATGATAGGTTACAGACCATTTGTGGAGGCATGTGTCGAAGCAGATGAAAAAGGAGAAGCGTTGAAATATATCCCAAAACTCACAGATCCTCGAGAAAGAGCAGAGGTAATGTAAAACCTTAGCCCTGCAATTTAGCGTTCGCTTTCATACTGTGCTACATCTCTTTGATTAAGCCCATCTTTAATATTTGCACAGTCCTACGCTCGGATTGGCATGGCCAAGGAAGCTGCTGATGCTGCCTCCCAGGCAAAGGATGGTGAATTGCTTGGTCGACTAAAATTGACTTTTTCACAAAATGCTGCGGCTTCATCAATTTTTGATACTCTTAGGGACCGGTTATCTTTTCAAGGCGTTTCATAGTTTTCCTGCCTCCATCCTATCCTTTTTTTCTTTAAATCTTTTTTTTCAACTGTGCGTATCGTGTTCATTTTTCTTTACATTGTACATGGCAGGATGAATGTAAAGGCAGATGAGTTTTTTTTTCATATTTGATGTATTGTGAGCATTGTTGAAGTTCATGTATGTATGAGCATAGTATAGTTTGCTGCTGTGTAAATCATTCTGCAAAACGAAGGTATCTTGGTGGTTGCTGCGTAAATTATTCTGAAAAATAAGAATAATGCTTGTGATTTTGTACTTGTTTGGGCAAAAGCACCATGCCACTGCTCATCTGAATTTTTTTTTTTTTGTGGGTGTGTATGTGGGTCTTTTTGGTCGTTTCTGCCGATATTTCCCCCACTATTTGTGGTCTCTCAGGACACACATAATTTGTGACCAAATTGAATGAAATTCAAACAGTTAGCTAACCATTGTGAGTTATTTCAATTAGTAAATAGTTAAGCTTTTGTACGTTTAGGCTCCACTTAGATGGAAGGAAGTGAAAGAAAGGATTTAGATGGAACAATTAAGCTAAATTTGGTACAAAACTAGAAAACAATAACCCACTAGTTTGTTACACCAGTATGTTTTCACAATGACACATGAACATGATCTTAAAAAAACAAGGCAGTACTCTGCAAATAATTGCATACAATGAGAACCGAAACTCTGATTTAAGTTACAAGCTTATTCATCGAACCGAATAACTAACGAATATCGGCTTGGAGAGATACAACATAGGAGAACAATACTTTACTTCAAGGAACAAGCCCACAGCTGACCAGAAATGCATCTTGTTTAGTCAGTCACCTTGAAAGATGCATAAGGTGAATTCTCATATTTGCCATCCCACCTGCAATTTTGATTAAACAAAAAGCATGTCCATGATTCTATCGTGAGCCATAACATTGCCCAGATTATAAATTATGAAGCCACACTTACCTGTGTTCTTCCTTTTCAGGAATCTGGAGCTCCAAATCTTCTTCAAACGGCTGAAACACTTGGTCTATCTTCTCATCACCCACATGGTCAAGAGATGGTGGGTTCCACTACAATCAACAACAGGTGTTCCTTAGATTTGCTTATCTTTAGAGATGACTGTAATCTTTAGAGATATGTACTGAAACTAATTTGATCGTAAATCGTAAGACGTAGAATTGGAAACATTTTAATAGAAAGAGGAGATTGGTACCTTAGGGGCGTTATCCTTGTCAATAGTGAGAGCTCTAATACCCTTTATATCAAAATAGAAGATTAGTACACCTCAAAAGCAGGGAGCAAGAGGGAGTTTCCAACATGGGATTGTTTATTCTTATATGTTCTCGTTAGTAATATTGGTATACAACAATTACCTCATATACATCCTCAGATATTATGGCTCTTAGTATATTGATTGTGAGTCTAAATTCCTTCTTCAGACTTTCAGGCAATGTTTGCTTTCTGCCTTCGCGAATCTGGAGAATACAAGGTCAGAGGCAGCTTAAGCACGAAAAGGGCAGAAGGAATTATCTACGGGTTGCATTTCCATAGATGTTCAAATCAGAGAGACACAGACCAAAAAAGATGATGGCATATTTACTAACAAGCAATACCATGGCTACTGTCTTTTGAAAAGGTATTCAATAGGACTTAAAACCTAATGTGCAACTGATCAAACTGCGAGAAACCATACCGATCTTAGTGTTATTCTCAATCCTGTAGGGGATGATCTTTTTAAGCCCTTAAGAACTGGACTTATCCAGCCATTCCCTTCTTTGGTTGCCTCTACTTCCTGAAAATCAAACACACATTTGTAGAATTTATGCCTGAGCAAATACCTGAATCTCCATTTTTACGAAGAAATTGTTCATTATTCTGTTACATCAGAAATGAGCAAAAGGTAACTTACAAATGATTTTATAATCTCAGCCACTGTATCTTTGGAGAAGCACTCATCAATTATTGACTGCCTGAAAGGTAAGGAAAGATTATTGAGATCGAGATATGGAGCTTTGCATGTTAATGTTAAGGATTGAAGTGGAATTAACAATTAAACACCAGCAACTAAGATTTATTACTTGTTTAAAACACTTTCTTCATCAGGCTGGACTTCCACTGCAAATTCTTCAATCGCAGCTTTGACTGCATTCTCATCTCCAGAGTTTAAGCTTATCAAATGCTTCTCTAGATCAGATAATTTATGATGAACAAAAACAGTTCAATAGCAAATTTTAGTTTGACATAGTAACTATGAAGAAGAATTATATCAAAGAATCCAATAATGATGGATGTGTATAATGCAGTCTCTTAGCTTTTCAGATCACTTGAGGGGCAAATCTTGTGAGCTAATACTTCCGAGACTTGGTTTCAGAGGAAGAAAATTATAGTGAAGGAATGAGAAAATCACCTCAAGAGGGACAAAATGGGTTGCCAATCCAGCTGCAACCAATTCCTTACCATTCAGTCTTGTTCCTGTTAAGGCAAAGAACTCCCCTGCGTTCCCCACACGATAACAATCAATTTCAGTAAAATCCAGGAAGAACTATTTTCCTCTATATTTGCATGCTTACCGAGATGCCCAGGAAGATGGGATAGTATATATGAGAAACCACAATCAGTATGAAAGCCAATACTAGCTTCCGGAGTGGCAAATACCTATCATGAAATATGCCACAGAAAATTTTGATGTCACTACACAGAAATAGATATCAAGCCAGTAAACACTAAAGATAGACATGTTTCTATAAACATCTCACTAGGATCATATTCATACTCACAGTTTTTTCTGTGACTACCGAGAACTTCATTGGGACCATTAAAGATGCGCCTCCACCCATTGAAATTCCATGGACCAGAGCCACCTATTGATAACATGAATTCTTCAGTGATACCCTTAAATAGTGGCATAAACTTGGAATCATACAGTCTACAGGGAACCCATTTTCGAATGGAAACGCAGGCGATAGGATTACTTTATTTCAAGCATTACCTGGGTTTTCTTATAAGTATGAATGTGATAGCCGAGCCAATACATTCTGTAAGCCACTTCAAGGCAGGAATCCTCTGCCAAAGAAGGTTCATGAGCAACTTCACTTTCTGTATATATTAGGAACTTAAATATTTTCACAAGAGAAAGCATTTACTTGAGTTCCTGCCATCATAGAACATCTTCAAGTCCCCACCGGCTGAAAAAGCTCGACCCGATCCCTATACAAGAACACCAAAGCATATCAAGTGGCTAATATCTAAATGGCTCTATATGGAATTGAAAACATCATCAAAGTTGTGCATAGATCTATTAAACCACGACCACCAATGCTAGTTCAAGATTTCAGGAAAAATTGGAAGTAACCTTGATAATTACAAGCTCAGCTTTATCATCTTTTTCCCACTTTTCCAAGTATTCTGCTAGCAAAGAAACCTGATTGCAGTGAAAAAAAAATGAATTACGAACCCCCAAAAAAAAAAAAACCAAGAACTTAAACAAAACTTGTTGACTTTGTGAGCATACCACTTTTGATGAGATGACATTCAAATGACGAGGCCTGTTCAAGGTGATCAACCTCACATGGTCTATTTCTTCTCCAAGAACAACCTAAAAGATTACATAAACACCCATATGGACTATTTGCAAGAAGAAAACTAAAAATAGAACCATCAAAAGAAAGGTTGGTGCAATTATAAATGCACAAGGAGATTACCTCATCTGAATTTACAACTTCTTGTGCCATTTAAATGATCAATTAACTAGTGGATTAGAAGCCAACACGCTGCACAAACAAATTAACAACAAGGGGCAATGAGGAAAACATGAATTTTTTTAGCAGTGAACTAATCCCAGATAATTAGTTCCAGAATTAGGGGCCAACCGCCAAGAAACTTGCTCATTTCATTCCAATCTTTCAAAATAGAATTACAAGCATTGCAGTTCAAGTTTTTTGAGCTGACTCGACAGCAAATCGATCAAAGAAGCAATGAGAACTTACATGAACCGCGGAGCTTGTACAAAAAATGCAGCGAGCAAAGTGAGTTGGTGAAGAGGGTGATGATGGTGCAGTATTTAACGTTGGCTATTGACTGTTTGATAGTACTTAAGTAGGCCAGCTACTTCTCTAAGTCTTGCAGTGTATGTCTAACTACCAACCATCTCCAACTACACCCTGGGTTTGATCCATTGAGGTTAGCGACGGGATCCGCTGTCCCCATTTCCCATGTCCCTCCGTGTCCCTTGTATAATTTTTTGACATGTGTCCAACAACTTAATCCTAACATAACACTGTTAACTAATAAATTAGAAAAATAAAAACTAAACATTAAAAGAATAAATATAGCCAAACAGCCACCAGTTTGAGCGCCGACCGCCTCACCCGCCACTACCCCTTGTCCTCCTCACTGCAGACGAGCCCTCTTCCCTTAGCCTTCACACCAACAAAAGCTTGCCATACCTGCAATGGAAAGATTTAGAAAACATTGCACTTCCTGTCGAACAAGTTATTTTGGTAAAACCAATCAAGTTGAGGGTAAGGGCTTTACCTCTCCCCTCAGATCCGTTGGCACTCCCCCATGAACTAGAGACTCCAGTTCTAGTTTCCAAGGAAAGAAAGGCTCTGGAGGGACCCCATTAGCCACAGCTTCCTCTGTCCCAATACTTTGCACACTGTTAGGGACACCACCATCCATAGCCTCTACTTCCCCAGCAACTTTCACACTGTCAGAGAACCTATCACTTACAGAATTTTCTGCAGTGAAGGCATCCGGACTGTCGTTCAAAGCATCGCAGTGAGGTTGCCATAGATAGGAGATTGAGAGAGACTAAGGGAAGAGGGCTCGTCTGCAGTGAGGAGGACAAGGGGTTGTGGCGGGTGAGGTGGTCGGCGCTCAAACTGGTGGCTGTTTGGTTACATTTGTTCTTTTTTAATGTTTAGTTTTTATTTTTCTAATTTATTAATTAACAATGTTATGTTAGGGTTAAGTTGTTGGACACATGTCAAAAAATTATACAAGGGACACGAAGGGACATGGAAAATGGGGACAGCGGATCCCATCCCACCGCGTACGTTGTGAGAATGGAGAAATTATAGAATGGTACGGTATCACCATGTATACTTCCATTTAAAATTTGCCACGTGTATTTTTTAAAAGAAAATTTATACTTTTTTTTTCAACTAGACATTAGGTTCCAATTTTACCCTTCACAAAAATTAAAAGAGAAAAAAAAAACTGCCTCTGTCCAGTTCGCAGCCCCCTTCGTCGCGTCACCCCTCCCACCTCCGTCCAGTTCAGTCTCCCTATGC